AGACCTTAATATAAATCCGACCACACTAAACCTGATAGAGGAGAAAGTGGGAAGTAGCTTTCAATGCATGGGCACAGGAGACAACTTCCTAAGTATAATCCTAGTAGCATAGACAATAAGAGCAACAATGAATAAATGGGACCTCCTGAAAATGAGAAGCTTCTATAAAGCAAAGGACACAGTTAATAAGACACAAAGGCAACCTACTGAATGGGAGAAGATCTTCACCATCCCCACACCAGACAAAGGACTGATCTCCAAAATATATAAACAACTCAAGAAAGTGAGCTTCATAGTGGAATGAAGATAATTAGTATTTCCATTTCCTTAAATATTAAGCAGAAACTTGCACTTTCATGTGCCACCTATCACTTGTATGTACTTTAAAGAAATTTTCTCATAAAGATAAATAATTGATGACAAAAAAATAAAACCAAGATATACCTCATAGATTCTCGGTTTTAAATTTATTGTGCCTTTTTTCTTCTTTTAACTCAACATTTTCATATTTATAATAAAAAGAAGCTTATCTTTGAAATGTGAACTAGCAAGTGTTGTACAGGCAGGATAAACAGGATCAAGAAATGTGACTTAATAAGTCATGTGCTATTTTAATATTTTAATTTTCTAGTAGGAACTTCCTAACTTACATAAGTTGAATATTGTACACAGACAAGTACTGGTGGCACTTCCACAGGATCAGGGTTCAATTCCCACTAAAAAACAGTCCCCAATTATCTGGTGCCTTCTCTAACCTCCCATGGGTAGCAGACACCTATGTGGTGAAAGCATACAAGTAGACAGAACATCCAAACACAAAAACTTTTAAATATTAGAAAGAGTAAAATAAGTATAAAATACAACAAAACTATTTTTGTCCTTGAATTATATATTTGTCCCAGCCCTTTCTCCCTTCATTTTTATAGACGCAACATGATAAGCTCTCTTTTCCACCACATACTCTAACACACATGTGCAATGATTCTCTGCTTCTGTTTTGGCATAGGACAGCAGAGCAAGCACTCCATTGAGCAAAGCCTCTGAGACCATCAGCCAAGACAACTCTTTCCTCTTAAAAAAAAAAAAAAAGAGGAAAGCCATTTCTCTCAGATATTTGTCACAGCAACAAGAAAGATGTGGCTGACACAGTCCATCTTCAGCTTTGAAGACTGAAACCCCAAAAAGGGAAGAATCTTGTCCGAGTTCACACAGCTCATGGTGACGGACTTGGGTCTTCTACATGGCTGTCTGATCTCAGGATATACAGCCCAATGTTCTTCTCACACTCCTATCTGTGTGCAGAAGGTCCCTTAGATGCTGTGGCTGCCTTCATGAGCAATGGTGTTCATCACTTTGTGAGTCTTGCCAGTCATGAGGCATTGATTTAGAAGTTGTCATTTTATTATCTGTCCCAAGGGATTCAGAATCCAGGCGTAAGGTAAAGCATTGCCCATGAATATTTCATGCATATGTATCTGCACATTGTGAAGTTGCTATTCAGTTTTAAAAATATAAATTAATATAAAGGATCCTTGAAGTTACAGGAGCTGTTTGTTTCTATTTGGGCAGTGGTAGCACATGCCTTTAATGCCAGCACACGAGAGGCAGAGGAAGGTGCATATCTTTGAGTTTGAGGCCAGCTTGGTTTACAGAGTAAGTTCCAGGACAGGCTCCAAAGCTACAGAGAAACCCTATCTCTAAAAACTAAAACCAAAATCAACAACAAAAAATTCTTTGTGATAAAAACTTTTGGGCCTCCTAACCATGATCAAGTAGTTTTGTTGTTGTTTTGTTTTTGGGTTTTGTTGACATTTTTGATGTCCATGTATCATGCTGTGATAAGTCTGCCTACCTTATAATGTTAAATACTAATGATACTGTGCAACAATGAAGAAATGACATCAAAGAAACAGCTGATTTGTTTTACATATAAGAACGCTTAGTCAGGAATTCATAAAAATGAGGACTTAGCATGGGTACTTGATCACTCCGTGATGGGTCTGAAGCTAGAAGCTGTCCCCCTGCATGGAATGCATAACAGGAAAAACAGAACTCAATGTAGAGTAGTTACAAATAAATAAAATGAACAATTAAGATAATGAAATGAATTTCCCTTAAAGTCTCATATCGATTCACCTCCAGCTTTGTGAATCTGAGAGGTCATTGTGTTGGTCAATAAAAACACTTGATCTTGGATGCTATAAATTTAATATAGAGCATAAAACACAGGAATCAATATTTTGATATTGGGGAAGCTCATTTCTAGGCTGTTTGTCCTCTGACTTTTAAATGAAATGGAGCGCTGTGGAAACACGTGGAATCATTTTTCAAAAATTCCACTTAAGTTATGTATACAATGATGGCTCAAAGAAAGTACAGGGAGGAATTTCATTTTGTAACCACTACCAGTTATTGTAGACTCCACCCTACCACGGGTCTTCCCACTAATACCTCTAAGACCCTGTCTTCCCTAAACAAGTAGACCCATCGTTTATAGTGTCATATAAGAAGCACTTCTTCATCATCTCTATTTGCAAAACAGGGAGAACATGACCATGTCCTATTGTCCCATTAAGTAAGGAGTGGTGGAGAAACCAGGTCTCAACTTGTTCAGTAAGAATGAGAGTGCCACGGTGGCCCTACAACCTTCCTAAAAACCTAGTTTGTATACCTTGGTCTTCTATGAGTACCATGCATAATACAAGTTCCAACCATCAAATAGATTTGAATAATGCCCTTCTGTAGCTCCCTCCAGTAAAGCCACATGTTATTAGGGGACACTAAATGCCCAAAGATGCCTTACAATAAAGTAGCTGGTATGTCTTAATTTTACCCCATAGAGTCTGAGTTTTAGTTCATTTATGATTATACCTGCTGGGATACTTCCTTATATGAGTCAGTGTGTTTATATCCAATTTTTCTACTGTTGTGGGAATTCCCTCTGTATGCTGTAAATACCACTAATAAATAGAGAAACTGTTTTGGACCTATAGCAGGGCAGAACCTAGCTAGTCGGGGAAAACTAAACTGAATGCTGGGAGAAAGAAGGGCAGAGTCGGGAGAAGACATGGACCCACTGCCAGAGACAGACACGCTAAAACTTTGCTGGTAGGCCATCAGTGGAGATGGGTTAAACTAAGATGTAAGAGTTAGCCAATAAGAAGCTAGAGCTAATGGGCCAAGCAGTAATTTAAATAATATAGTTTCTGTGTGATTGTTTCAGGGCTGAGCAGCTGGGAACAAATGAGCAGCCCCCTGCACCATGCCATATTTGTATTCATTAGATGATTTGGAACATCACAGCTGGGTACAAACAAGTAACCAGATGCAATCAAATAAAGCCGGCCCTGCTCCCCTGTAGTCTAGCATCCATTGAAAAAATAACATAAAAATAAAAACGTAGTCCTCGGAGAGTTTATTACAATAGGAGACAAAGCTCCTATTTCCTGACTATATGTAGTTTACGTTGTTTTATTGCTAAATAATGTTACCATTATATGCTTTGTTTCATTGTGTGCAACCCAATTCCACTTTGTTTTTCATTTCTCTGCTGGGGTCATTCCCACTGCAATGAGATCCAGACCCACCTGTGAAACATCAGCATGAGCGCGGTGGTGTAGATTTTCTGCCTACTTTGATCATACAACATCATCTTTAATACTGTCTGGCAAGAGTTTAAATATTGTTTTAGAATTAATCGTCGAAATCCTGCTCAGAGGGCCGTTCTCAAATATCATATAATAGTCTCAGTATTTGTCAGGAGACCAGCGAAGTTCCCCCCAATAGTGGTTTATGGGTCTCAATTCTAATTTTACATACAATTTTAACTGTGCCATATTCCTGTTTTTACAAAGCTTTCTTATTCTTGTCCTTGTTAAAAACTAAGTGGTGCTGATTAGCCAAAGTAAATAGTTTCATTTCATTATAATAGTCTGCTAATACGGGCCCAAATTTATCTCTTTGATCAAACTTGATTAGTTCTTGTAACTTATGTCAGTGAAATGTCATAATTATTCAATTAACATGTAAATCTAGGAAGCAAAAGGTACAAAGTATTTTAAGTAATTTGGCTCAAATTTTCATTCCTTCCAATGTTTTTTTTTACTTTGAAATGAGGATAATCTTATTTTGTAATGCTTCTGAATTTAAAGAAAGACTTAAAAATGTGGGACCTGGAACTGTCAATCAAGCGGTAGCATGTGTGCCTGACGTGCAGAGCAAGGCTGTGGTTCAGTCCCAGCACGTCTCACAAGCATTCTTGTGTATGTAAAATGGAAAAAAAAATATAACAGAGTGCCTGAGGTTTACATACAAAAGTAAAAACTGTCTACTTCTATGTTTTTACCTACATAGAGGTTGAAAGGAACAGATTACTCTGTGAGAATTTTAGTGATAAAAATAAGGGATGAAGCATCAGTTATCACGTGTACATATTATTTATTGTTCCTGGTATTGCTCGTGTTCGTGGAGATTGAACAAGTTAAAACTGTTAGTAATAGTTTGAAGCTTTTCGTTTTTGGATCATGATTGTGATAAAAATCCTCTTGGTGATATTTTCAAGGTCCTCTTAATATCATATAATGTCTTATTTATAAGGAGAATTGTGTCTGGCATTGACTCTCCCTTCCCCTGTCAATTCAGATGCTCATTTTTCAGGCAATTATTTCTCAGCTTATGTCCCACCAAGGATCTGTCTTCTGCCAGGGTGCCAATTGGGTACATCTTATACAATGATCTGTCACCCTTGGACCTGACCAATACCCATGAACCAGTTCAATGGTACTGAAATGCTTTTCTCTGGTGTCACCTTCCTGGGAAGGTAGCCTATTTTGTGAGGGTGTGGTCCCTGGAATCTTTTGCAATGGAGCGTTTATGTCATCAATATTTCTCAGCTTCGCTGTCTCCAGGCCCCAACACTAATATCTAAAATAAATAAAGCACCAGTCGTGTGAAAAGTAAACAGTGCTTCACTGATCCTGTGATTTCTTTTGCATTTTCAGATGTCATCCATACCGTAGGGCCAATAGCCAGAGGCCACATTAATGGTTCCCACAAGGAAGACCTTGCAAATTGCTATCAATCATCCTTGAAGCTGGTGAAAGAAAATAATCTCCGATCAGTTGTAAGTACTTCAGAGTTCTTTGTTTTGCATTCCTTCTCAGCCTTTATGCAAAGAAACTAGCCAGTGACGAGTTTATCATAATAGTGTACATTGCTTTTTCCATTGGCAGTATGTGCACGTGGTTAGCGCCGCTTAACCTTTGTCTGTGTGAGCGTACCTGCGTAGCTACATAGGCATCTTCAGATTGAATTCATTTTCAGGCACTTACTCTGTGTGTTTTTCCTGAACATTGTTCTTCTTTCAGACTCATTTTACTCCCTGTAACCTAATGACCTATAGCTGAGAACATCGCACCCTTATAAATTGTATCAAGTTAGACAGATAATTCAGAAAACGTGCTTCTAATCTATCTTCTTACCAGTGTTCTGAAGGAAATCTGGCTTTGGAGGTCTTTGTCTGCCCTTCCCCCGCCCCCAGCATTCCCTGACTTGATTACATCTCAATTACACCAGGAAAATAAAACTGTGAGCATTATACATTGGAAATACCCAAGAGTAAGTTCATTTGCCCTAGAATAAGTTAATTTGGCTAGAATATATAAGGTTTTTAATTCCACAGAGATTACAACCTTGCTGAAGTTGTAGGGTGGGAAAGGCGTTATCTTTCTGAAGGCTTAGCAGGCTGAGTAGACCTCAGCATTGCTTGCAAATTCACACTAGTGGTAGCTGCACAGTTGGCAATAAAGAGCACTCAGTGTTCCACACATTTGGAAAGCCACACTTGGTTGTTGGAGAAAGACATTTTTTTTTCGACCCACAAATGCATCAATAAGGGAAGTCAGGGCAGGAACTCAGGCAGAAGCCATAGAGGACGCTGCTTGCTATTTCTCTCACATGTTCGTGCGCAGCTAGCTATCTTATTTTATACAGCCCCAGCACAGAGAGTGATGCTGTGGACAGAGGGCTGCCTTCCTATTTCAAATAGTCATGAAGACAGTCCCCCACAGACATGCTCATGGACCAGTCTGGTCTGAGAACGCCTCGACTGAGACTCTCTCCTTAGGTGACTCTAGGCTGGGTCAAGGGTACAGGTGAAGTTCACTAGGACTCAGAGCCACATGGCTATTCAGCTTTCCACAAGGATGCCCGCCGGGGATCTGAACTCGGGTCTCCGTGCTTTCACACCCAGCACGTTAGCCACTGAGTTGTTCCCTCTAGCCCAAGACTCTATTGGCAGAAGAGCAAGCTGAAATTCAAAGAGTAGAAAAATGTATGAAAGCCGTAGTTAACTTGATCTCTATAGGAAAAGCAAAGCAAATGTGTCCTTGAGAATAATTTTAAAAAAATTGTCAATATGAATAGTTGACTTTATATGCAAGGGACTGCAAAACCTACAAAATATATATTCATATAAGATTCCAAGAGTACATCCTGGAATTTGAAGATTTTAATATCCGAAAAGAATGTGCTAATAAATTTATCGGTATTCCTAATGATAATGTTTTTAAAAGGAAACAATAAGAACAAGAAGGAGACACCATTTCAGCTGCTCAGAAGAGGCATTCATCATTTTAGCACAGAAAGCAAAAGGTGTGATCACCTTCAAACAACATGTGTAAGAAAAACACTATGAATTGCATATTAAACTAGCTAGCTATTGTCCAGTCTTTAGAAATGCTCTAACAATGCTCTGATCTGGTCTTTTGAGATTGGAGTTAGGTCTACCTTTGTATTTTTGAAGTTGGCTTTGAAGTATTAACACATCTTTTGGGTAAAATTAGCAGGCATTGCTGAACTGAATTTATATGAATGTGGTAAATAAAAATAAAGATGGGAAAAATCCGTTGAATCTGAAGAAAATGGTCAGCTAAATTAATGGCCATGTACTTAAATGGTTAACTGGAGGTGCTGAAAGGTACTTGGTCTTATTTTTTTTTCTCTATTCTTTAATGTAACCTTCCTTCCTCTTTCTCTCTCTCCCTTGCTACCTCCTACCTATCCCCCTTTCTTTTCTTTCTGAAAGAAAAAGTGAGGCTGTGTACTTCATATGGTGAATCATGTTCTTGACGACCATTAAATGAATTCTGACATCAAAGGCATCAAATTGTGATCATTTTCAGGGAAATGGAAGATTCCTAGGCAGGTGAACGTGGCAGGTAGTGTGCTGTATAGTACTGTACATTGTAGATTTAATACACCATGTGGGTCAGTACTGTTATTAGAAGAAATATAATGGTTAAGATGGAAATTAAACTCAACTTGAGCATGTTTATTTTCGGAAAAGGAAATTTCTTTTAATCCCTGAAACCACTGATTGATCGCTCGAACAGCTTCGTGAGTTTTACAGGGATGAGGTAACTGTAGCAACTCAACAGTTCCTTACGCTTGGGAATGGATGCTAGAGAATTATACCACCTGTCTGTGGCTATATACTCTTGAGATCTGCAGGTATTTGGTCTCCCAATGTCTTGGTATCAAATGACTGTTTATTTTGGCAGGATAAATTAGATGGCAATAAAATAACTGAGCAGCTGAAACTGGGACAAGGAGAGAGCTGCAAGACAAGTTGAAGGGAATCTCTCCAACAGACTGCTGAGCACAGGAAAGACGAGTTTAGCTTGCCTTACAGTTGTTTGAAATAGAGGCAATCCAAAGAAAATGGAGGCCAGTGTTAGAGCACTAGATAAGCTCCTAGAAGTCAGGGAGCGATTTAGGTCATGGACTATACTGTGGATAAAATTCTCACTGTAAAGACATACTTTGTTTTAGTTCAGAAAATACGAATTCTTCTGTTGAAGGATATTTTTTAAGATGTGATGCTTTTGTTCATGCTACCTTTATTAACTCTGTGAATACAGCTGAAACACCTGATGGTCTAAGTCAAGAACTGAATGGCCAATAGCAGGGCAGGAGGAAGGATAGGCAGGGCTGGCAGGCAGAGAGAATAGATAGAAGGAGAAATCTGGAAAGGAAGAAGAGCAAGAGAACAAGGAGAGGAAGACACTAAAGGCCAGCCACCCAACCACCCTGACACACAGTCAGCCAAGGAGTAAAAGTGAAAGTAAGATTTACAGAAGTAAGAGAGAGAGAAAAAAAAGCCCAGAGGAAAAAAGGTAGATGGGTAAATTGAAGATAAGAAAAGCTGCCTAGAAACAGGCCAAGGTAAGGCCTGGTATTGATAAGAAATAAGAAGCCTCTGTGTGTGATTTATTCGGGAGCTGAGTGGCGCCCCCCCCCCCAAAAGCCAAAACATCCAAAGGCCAAAGGGAAAAGAGTAAAAACATCCAACAGAATTCTTTCATCTCCTCTATCTATTCTTTGAGAGGGCTTCTACTGACTGTATATCCCATCTGTGCTTTATATACTAAAGTAAGAAACATAATAAATCTATGATTGACCTGACATGTATGTTCTGTCTGTGAATGTTTATCTAATATAGCCTCATAAATGCCATGTAATTTCTGCTTATAGTAATTATTTTCCTGATTTTTTTTTTTTTGCTTTTTATTTTGTTTTGTTTTGAGACGGGGTTTCTCTGTGTAGCCATTGACTGTCCTGGTACTTATTCTGTAGACCAGGTTGGCCTCAAACTAAAAAACAATTTGCCTTCCTCTTCCTCCCAAGTGCTGGGATTAAAGGTGTGTGCCACCATGCCCTGCTTATGTTCCTGATCATATGATGAAGAGTTTTAAATGAAGATTTCAATCTGGCCAGTCATTAATACACCCTAGACCTAATATGTCCAATATCTATTTCTCCCAACTTAACTCCAAATAAAGTTTTTAAAAAATATTTCCCAAAATTTGGACTTGCTTTGGGCAAAATTCAAATATATGAAAATTGATTTCTTAGCAAATTTGAGATCATTGATTCTAACATAAATAAGATTAATAAGGATAAATCCAATTTTAAAATTGTGGGACATTGGGAGCAGACATAATAATGAAGGAGGACCATGAAGGATTTAGGCTTTCTTTTTTTTATTTCCTATAAAACTTTTTGAAAGACAAAAGCAAGTAAAATTCTGCTTCTTTAGGAACAGACTGTGCCACAGTAAGCAGTGGGCATATTCAAGGATGTTGAGACATGTAGATATTTTTAAGAGCAAAATAAGCACAATAGAATAACATAATTAGGAGACAATATCTTTGCCCCAAATAATTGATGACAAGGTGGTGGCAGTTCATAGTTAAGCAGAGCTGTCTGCTGAATTGTTTCTACAGAATCCTCACTTCAGAACCTTAATCAATTTATTCATTCTTTGTCAGATTAGACAGACACGTCTCCATCTTGGTGTCTACAGCTTTCTTAGTGTATTGGTGAAACTTCAGAGGTGAGTGGAGTGAGCATTGGTGGTGAAGAAAGGGAGGAAGCATTCAAACTGGACAAGGGCTAGTAAATAAGAAAACAGATGTATCTGCTATCTCCACATGCTAAGATCAGAAGTGGAGTAAATACTGACTTACGTAGCAGGTTGCCTTTGTTAATTTCTTTGGAGCATAGAGGTACGTGATAGGTTTTCTAAGCCTTTCTTGGCTTCTATTTCAATATCATCCTAAAGTCGTCCATAGCATACTCTTACCATCAGCTTTATTCATAGGGGCCTACGTTTTGCTGTGTTGAAAGGCTCTCAATAGTTTCCCCTCTCAGCATCAAATAAATGCAAAGTGTTTCATTTGCCAGTGATACTAAGGACTCACAAGACCTTTTCTGATGATAAAGAGTAGTGCCACAGTTATATGTTGAGTGACATCTCGTAGTAAAAAATAGATGCTCTGTTAGAAAGTTGATGGTAATCAGGATATAAACCGGATTTTACTTGTGCTCAGATTGTTTTCCATGGGAGTAATGTTAATATTTGATATATGGTTTAGTGGGTTTATGTGATTATGGGCAGACTACAAAAGGGGTGTTTATTATAATGGTGGATATTACTGTAATTTTCAGGAATGTTATTCTAGATAATGTATTAGGTGGGGGAAATTACGATATATTTTTACTGTTAAAAGCCACCCAGTGCCAATAGAGATCTCTCAAAACTAGATAATGTTCCCGTCATGA